AAAAAAAAAAAAAAAAAAAAAAAAAAAAAAAAAAAAAAAAAAAAAAAAAAAAAAATGATGCAAGAAAGGGAATGGACTCTCCTAAATTCCCCTTCTACGTAAACACAATACATGATGCAAGAAAATTTTGAAGTAAAAATCATAGACAATAGAGAGCAATAGATTCCGCAGACCCTCACACTCTTTTTCCAACCAAAAATTACTTGGAACAGCGGACTCCCCAAAACACAAGACAGTCTCACCAGACCAATCAAATTCCATTCCCCTACTGCTGCTTGCATTCCGGAGGCCTCTCCCCCTGCTGACCATCACCCCCAGCTGCTGCTCCTCTTCCACCCTTCTGTACAGACCAAACAAATTTACAACAATATTATGTTTACATAAACGCACATTCAAACATGTTCATGGAATGGAATATGGAATATGGAATATGGAACGGAAGGTACCTTGTTCCCAGCTGACAACTGCTATCACCGCAATACAAGCCAAATCCAATCAAACATGAAAAAGATTGTCAATTCCAACTTCTAAATGGAGAAGAATATGGCATAGAAACAGGCCAATCCGAACTAAAAAATAATTGGCATACCTTTTTCCTGGACTTCCCTTGATCTTCATCCTCGTCTTCATCATCATCTTCGTCGTCGTCATCTTCCTCATCATCTTCATCCTCGTCATCATCATCATTGTCGTCGTCATCATCCTCGTTGTCCATGTCCTCAAAATCCTCATCTTGAATAGCCTCCCCTGTAAACCATGAGACAGCATGGGGGATGATCTTGTCTCGAATCGTTGACCTACAGACAGAATTAAACAAAAATAAAGATTTCAAAATCTGCACAACTCTTCAGATCCATTCACACAATAACCCAGTCTCGTGTTTGAGACAACTTTATTCCACAAAAATTCAACATATAGCACATTACCCATTAACATACGAAGTGGCAAAAGATTAAGCATGTCTATAACTCACCCAATATCATAATCTTGCTCCATCTGATTTTGAAGCTCCTCAGCCTGATGAAACAGAGTAGAAAATAAGAGAACAGAAAAATCAAGGCATATACTAGTGATATTTTTCACTGTAGGGGTAATAAACCTACGGTATCCTCATCAATATCTTCATCATCATCGGGCACTTGTGGTGGACTAAAGAAGTTGAAAAAACTTTCACAGTTTTCAGTCTTAGTGATTGGCTTGGCATTCTTTGATCCCTTCTTCGGCTTCTTCTTAAGTAGTTTCTGAGTCAGGCATTTTCCGGGATACCATTCAATCTCGGTTCTGCCAACAAGATATAATAATTTTCAGTGAAAGTGTAACCAAGTACTTCTGCGTATGCCATCTAACACTATATAGCAAAAATAAAAAGAATATCAAACACAGATGAGGCTGAATGAAATTACCCAATTGCTTTCTCAAGAATTGGCTCATCTTCGTCAATCATGTGATATGTCTTAGACAAGACAGAATTTTTAAAGAAGGGATTAGTGTCAAAAAAGAAGTCAATCTTGAACCCTTTGGGATTGTCTATTCTACACCACTTGATATCTTTCAAGTATTTGAGAGCTCCTTCGTCACGTTCAGTAATCTAAAATAAAACATGTGAGAGATTAAGATACACAGTGTTGTAACTAGTTAGTCAAACAATTCTCCAAACACGTGAAAACAAAACACAAACCTCTTCAGCTAATACTTCATTATTCTTCATTGCAGATAGCCAAAAATCGGGTACTCCTTTTTCTGAAAAGGCAAACAATACTTAATACAAGCAATTTAAATCGTATATTAAACGAATGTCCCAAGTGACGATATAGAATTACCTGCTGCTTCTTTATCCTCTTCTTGTCCAGCGGCAGATTCTTTGGCAACTCCTTCAGCTTCAACAACACCATTAACAATATCGAATCGCTGCAAAGACATAGGAATGAATCAATGACTAAACAAGACGTGAAATATTATGACGGCTAGTAAGAAAATATCCACACCTGAGAGTACAGTGGCTGATACAATTTCTGGTATTTGGCCTCGAGCGCCAACCTTTCTTCAAAAAATTTTGCCTCTAATTCGTCATGTTGGCTCTGTTGAACGAGATGGTTTAATAAATACTTCCAAAATAAATAAAACAACTCGTGGAATTCTCCAAGTCGATAACAAGCAATCACAAAAACAGCAGAAGAATGAAACCAAAAAGACCTAATAGTGAATATCAAACGAATGAGAATATAAACTTGCCTGTATCTCTCTTAGCGCCTCAACGCGCTTGCGAACAACAGGTGATAAGTTCTCGAGGGCATCAGAGTGCTGCCCAGCGAGGCTCTGTATCTTACTCTGCACGGCAAAGAAACCCCAACTAAAATCAACCATCACTAAAACCAACCCCCAGAAAATTCCATCCAACTATTGTTATAATCTAAACAAGTATGCAAACAGGGCCATTCAAATGCGCAAACCAAAACAATTAGAAAGTGTGGAAGAGTATATTCCTGATTCTAGTGGCATCCCACTACAATCAGACGATAAAAAAAGAATAAGAGAATCAATTGAAGTACCTTGAGAGCGTTGACGAGGCCTGCTCGATCCTCCTCATTGAGAGCTTCAAAATCAAAAACCAAAAACCCCTCGAAATCAATTCGTGAAAAAGAACGAGCAATGGAACATCGATAAAGAAAAAGAGGAAGAATTTGAATACCAGAACCGAGATCCGAGACGTTGAAGTTGTCCTTGTTGTTGCTCATTGAGAATCTCAGGAAACAGCTGCGGAGCGAAGGGGGAAAAAAAAGGAGGAAGCGAAGGTGGAAACCTAAAACCCTAGATTGAATACGAGCGAGGAAAAAGGATTGAAAAGGGCCACCTAAACGTGGCCGACCTTTAATATCCCGTCGCACACTTGTTAGATACCTAACGCTCATTCCCATTTATTTCAATTTATAAGGAAACGCCCCCAGCGGCGCCGAATTTAGGGGAAACAATAATTTAATTAATTTTAAATTAAATCGTCGGAATTGGGCTTCGTTACGAATTGGGCTGGGCTCCCTCGGCGTTCGGCCCATGTATTTTAATTATGATTTTACACATTTTATTATTGCGACAAAATTAAATATTTAAAATAATAAGTCCGATTAATTTCAATAATATTCAAAATAGGAATATATAAATAAATAATTATTTCCAAGATTTTATTGGCCCAAATCCAAAGCAGCCCGGCTCAATTATGATATGAAGCCCAATAAAAGTTCGAGGCCCATTTGTTGTTCCGGGCAGGCACAGAGGTGTGACCGAAATGGAGGGAAAACCCCCGCCAGGAGAGAGCGAGGGAACCAAAAAAATAATAATAATAAATAAAATCAGAACCCTAAAAAAACCCTAAAAAACATCAGAGCTCAGTGCATGTTCTTCTTCTTCTTCTTCTTCTTGTTCCTCGTCTCTCTATTTTATTTTCGTGCTTGCTCGTGCATATGCCTTCTAGCAGCTTTTCTTGTTCGTCAGTTGCTGTTGATTCAAGTTAGTTCTTCTATTTGTTTAGTTTGGAGTTGCTCTCTCTGTTCTGCTGCGTACGTTTTGAAGAGGTTTAATGGCGAGACTCATTCGAAATGCGTCTTTTGTTGGGCGCTGTCTGTTTCAGCACGAGGTTTCAATCACTTACTCTTTTAAAACTTCTTCGTTTCTTTGTAGAGCTCTTGGTGGTGTATGCTTTTGATTATTTTAACTACTTATTGTATAGACTGAGCCTTCTTGAACAAGGATGGAATACTGATGAGATATTTGTGGCTACTTTCGCTTTTATGTCGTTTGGATTTTGACTTGACGATTGAGTTTCTGCTTGCTTCCCTTGCAGCGGTACAGGATAGGCATATTGGGAACGTCTACTCAATTATGTAGCTTTTCTACCAGAGGTGTGAAACATTGGTTTTGATTACATTATATGTGAAATGATGATGTATAGTTTCATGGTTTTGAAGAACTTGAAATTTTTTAGACTATTTTGTATGAAATCAACGTTTATTCCTTCATTCACGACCTCTTAGAGAACATAGAGATGAATTCGCGATCGAGCTAAACTCCATTGGCACTAAAATAATGCTGATTCAGCTTGCATATATATATATATATATATATATATATATATATATATATATATATATATATATATATATATATATATATATATATATATAT